TAACAGAATGAAATTATCTCAATATAATAAAGGCCATATATGAAAAACCCACAGATAACATCATACACACAAAAGATGGAAAACTTCCGTTCTAAGGTGAGGACCAAGGCGAGGATGCCGATGCTCACACTTCCGTCCAGCATAGTGCTTGAAGCTCTAGCCGGGCAATGAGCAAGAAAGAGTAAAGGCTTCCACGCTGTGAGGGAAGGAGTGAACATGCTCGCATACGACACGATCTTATGTGTAGAGAACCCTGAAGATTCCATAGAAAACCTCTTAAGGACTAATGAATAAATTCAGCAAATTTGCAGACTATGAAATCAAAACTCAAAAACAAGCTGCATTCTGATACACTAACAATGAACAATCTGAAAAGGGAATTACGAAAACAATTCCATTTATAATATCCTTCGAAGAAAAAAGTACTTAGGAATAAACTTAAGGTAAAAGACAAATACACTGAAAACTACAAAATGTTGCTCAAAGAAATTAAAGACACAAATAAAGGGAAAGATATCCCATGTTCATGGATTGGGAAACTTACTATTGTTAAGATGTCAGTAATACCAAAAGTCATCTACAGATTTAGGGCATTCTCTATCAAAATCCTAATGGTGGTTTTCACAGAAAAAGAAAAATCTATCTTAAAATTCACATAGACTCACAGAGGACCTTCAAGAACCATAAGAATCTTGATAAAGAAAATAAAAATTGGAGGTCTCACACTTCCTGCCTTCAAAACTTATTTAAAAATTTGAAAAACTACTGTAATCTTTTTGTTTTTGAACTATGTGACTGTATTACCACTCAAAATACATTTAAAAGGTAAAAACCTGAGAAAGTCAATTTAAAAGAATGGAAGGGAATGAAGTAAACTGCTATAAACAAAGCAGAACATTCTGCCTGCCTGTGGCACCAGGGGCAAGATAAAAGAGGATCTGCCCTTTGGCCTGAAGACCGGTGTCAATACCGACAGACGTCAAGCACACCTCCCGCCTTGGGCTCTCAGTAATGGACAATGATCCCCACTGCTTCAGGCGGCAGCATGGGGCACAGCTCATCACCAGCTCTCTGGACAATGTCACAGGTCCTACAATGAAGAACTTGGCAGAGGGGGACTTCCTAAGAGTCTTCCTAGGGCCTGACTGGGGAGACAGTGGTCTGCACAGAGCTCAGAGACCTAAAGGACGGTTACTTGTGCCCCAACCCTCTGCTTCCTGTCTTTTTCCTGTGCACACGAGTTGTGTGATCCTTAGGGAAAGAACCCTGGACTTTTGGGGTCCCCTGAAGCACACTGGTAGCACAAAGAGTAATGTCCCCAATATATAGAGTTCCTATAGAGCAGTAAAAAAAACATGACAACAAAGTATTTCCACAGGTCATTCAAACAAGGAAACTACAAGTGGCTTTTAAATGTATAAAATGGTGCTTCCTTAATAAGCATCTTGGGAGGGCCGCTGAGTCAGCACTGCTGGTCAGAAGTCCACTTTCCTTCCACAGCAACATTTTCCCAGACATCCTGAGGGCCAATTCAATTTGAATGACCAAGTCTCACCATAAAAGTGTTCACAAAGCAACTCAACAAGAGAGCAGAGGGCTCATACTCAATTCACCTCCACTGCCCTCAATGTCTAGATGAAGAGACAATAAAAAGTTTTTTAGAAAAAGGGAATAAATTCAGCATAGTGTCAGGAGGGAATGTGGCAGGCAGCAGGAGACGGCTACGTCCACACCTGCTCCAAGACCTCTTCTCCTTCATGCTCTTTACTTCTTTTTCCAGCCTCCCTTGCAATGTGGGTGCCCAAGTGATTTGCTGACTGCCTGTGCAGCAACTGGCTTCTGGGAGAGCTTTTTTTTCTGGTAAGAGGGGTGGATATTGTTGGCACTGGCTTCCTCCTGTCCTTCCTTGAACTTGGACACAAAAGCCAGCTTATGACCATGAAGGAAAGGCTAGGAGAATTGCAGAGATACAGGCTGCTACCTACCTCCAGCTAACTTATTTAGAGGAGAGAAAAAAACTATTTTAGCTACTACTGGATGGAATACCATTTGCCCGCAGCTCTAAGTGTTTGTCATGGATACCAGGGACCACAAACAGACCAGCAATTTTAGGCAGTTTACAGAAGGTAGAAAGTAGGTGGGACCACATTGATGGTGCTCCTGGGAAAAGCCCCAGTGAAGTGGCCTGCTTGGAGTTGGCAAAAAACAAGGAGCAGGAAGGACAGGGAGAGGAGAGTGCATGGCCGTTAACTGGTGGCCAGTCTGTGCCCACTTACCTCGCACCACACTAGCCTAGAGTGTTGGCCTTCAGGCTAAAAGAGAGAACTGCCAAGCAGAGCTTGGGCTGATGTCCCAGACTAAGGCTCCCGGAGTGCCTGCCGGGTCTCAAAGTGAAGCCCCCATATCTTGGGTTTGTCAGGCACGTATCCACCTGTCTCCCAGCCAGCAGATGCCCTGTCAGGCTGCCCCAGAGGTGGGTGTGCTGGGGAAACAGCTCTACTCCTGCAGGTGATTCAGAGCAATCTTCCTGTTGAGGGTGGGGGACAAACCTGGACAAACAGAAACAGCTCTGAGAGAGCTAATGTGCTAGAGATGAAAGACAAAGTAAACGGTATCAGGAAGGAAGACATCCAAACAGGGAGGCCTTCGCCTTGGGAACATTTATTGATGAGGAAGAGCCTGCGTGTATTTCTGCCAGACTTGAGGCCCTGGGAGGACCAAGAAGAAGGCCAAGGTGAAAGTGGGGGGTCCCTGGGATATAATCCCTCATTCATGCTGGCACCCCAAAGGATGCACTGTCGAGTAAGGGTGAACTGGAAGTAAACCAGCTCACACACCAACTAGTGCCCAGCCTGCAGTCCCTGGACTGGGCTGAGGGCCCTGCAGTGCTAGTGCCTCAAGAGCTGGCAGCAGAAAATGCAGGTGTACATCATGTGAGGCTGCAAACCATTTCTACAAATAATTTTCAAATACCGTATCCAGCAGAGTTAAAAATGACCAGGTACTTGAGGAAATAAGATAATATGAGTGAGAACCAGCAGAGACATTCACAGGCGACAGAAACAGACCTACAAGGGCTCCTGGTACTACAGCGGTCAGACACACAGCTCTGACATCGGCTGACTCAGCTTATACGACTACACACATAAAAGACTAAATTGAGTATCTGAGGGAATTGAAACTATGAAAAATGATACAGCAGATTTTAAGAAAAGAGGACACGACATCTCTCTGATGATGGGGAAAATGGAAGGGATGATAAAGAGAACAAAGGAAAATCCACAGAATGAATGACAAGGACTCGTGAATCTTCAAAACACCGTGACAGGATCCCCAAAGAACTTACAAAGCGATGAACATCAAACTGGCAGCAGAGATTTTAGCAACAACACGGATGCTGAAAGTCTGTGGCACCATACCTTCAAAGACAGTGGACTTTGAACTTAGGATTCTATTAACCAATCAAATTAAGACCCATTACAACAAAATAAAGATGGAATAAAAACCACAGGAGGCCAAGCACACACCAAGGCCTGCAGAGCTGTGAAGACTGACCCTCCAACCTTTGTGACCTTGACCGCTTTCCCCCTCCCACTGCCACTCTTGGCTGTTCCCCCTGCAGTGAAAGCCCCTCCACCTCAGGGCCTTTGGACTCGCTCTTCCCTCTGACTGAATGTTGCCCCCCAGGGATCTGTGGGGCTTCACCCCTCACCTTTTCTGGTCTCTGCTCAGTCAGTCAGGGAGGCCTTCCTTCATCACCCAATATAAAACAGCATCCTGTCGGCATTCCATATCCCCCATCCTCTTTGCTTTTGTTCACAGCACCCCTCCCCATCCAACTTACTACCTGTACTTGCTCATTTGATTGGAATCTGCCTGTCTCCACGAGAACGTAGGTCCACGAAGGCAGGGCCCCTGGAGGCCTTGTGCACCGCTGCCCGCCCTGGGCCTGCGCCCACGCAGACAGAGCTCAGAGGTGACTCTGTCATTCATCAGTGACTGACTAAAGCAGCGGAACTGCCTTTGGGTCCACGACCTCTCCCATCCCTGCTCCTGTCCCACCTCAGTCAGTGTACTGGCATCCGTCTGTGGCAGCCGAGAAAATCCGGAGGGGACCGCACGGTCATCACTCTCTCCCCCTCACCGACTCCGCACCCACTCACCCACCCGCCGCCCAGCACATCTCGCCAGTCTTGCTGGTTCTGCCTCTAAACCACATTGAATCCGTCTCTTCTTCCCTCTGCACAGCGAGCTCACCGATCCGCGTCCCGTCCACCTACTGCTGGGACTATTGTAAAAACCAGCCGGCTGCTTTTCCATGTCGGTTCACATCACCTCTGCACAAACTCCTCCAACGGCTCCTGTTGCTGAGACGAGAACTCCAGGGACCCACTGCCTGCTCCTACCTCTCGCCTCATCTCACACCACCTTCTCCTTTGCCTACTGTGTACCTCGCCCGCGTCACATGTGCTGTCTCCTCTTCCTGGAAACTCGCCAGGCTGCGGCGCGGCCGGCTCGCTGGTATCCTTGGGTTGCACCCTCAGGTCCTCTCCCGAGGCCTTCCCTGGCCACTCTTTTCCAGGCACGCTTATCTTCTTGCTCTGCTTATTTTCCTTCTCAGCACAATATAGTCTAGAACTATCTCACCGACTGACCGAACTGCTTCCTTTCATGTCTGCCTCTCTACGAGACTGCGAGTTCTGTGAAGGCAGGGAAGGACCGTCCACCCTCTCTACACAAGGAATCCACAGCCCCTGGCAGGCAGCTTTCCTTAGCTTAGGTGCCTGGCTGAGTATTCCTTAGGCCTCTGATGCCAGGCCCACCTCCTGCCAGGGGTGCAGTGCTGGCACCCAACCCTTTCACTGATGCTGGGACTGAACGCACTGTGCTGGTGAAGCCTAATGTGGAAGAATTTCAAAGCGCTTTGGCTTATTTAAAAACACGTCCACCTTTACTTTTCAAGAGAGTATTCTTGTGGCAAGAATGAAAGAAGCACCTACCACTACCGTTGACTCCCACTGGCTTCCAGTGGAGTAGTGAACCGGACCCAGTAAGTCCTTGCATATTTCTCGGAGTCGGTATTCAAACCCTAATTACAGAAAAAAACAAACAAAAAAACAAAAGAACAGAACAAAACAGAAATAGGAACACATTACAAAAAGAAATAAAAAATCAAGAATATGCTAAGTTGTTGTGGATATCAAAGCAGACTGAACCAATACTTATTTTATTGCCTACAGTGGGCAAAAAGCCTCTTGCACGTCTCTGGGGCGCTGAGACCCATAATGACAGATTCTCACTCACTCACCCTTGACAACAAATGGAGTGGCCCCTCTGTGTGCTGGGCCCACAGGAAAAATGAGACTTAGCCATCTCTGGGATAAACTCCCCAAGGTAATGGGAAAGCATAGGAAATTGTGGATGGAGGGGAGTGGGCTAGTCAGATTTGAGAGAAGATGTCCTGGCAGCAGTGTGAGGGGTGGCTGGCAGGGTCAGGATGCAGCCTGCAGGAGGTAAGAGATGGCAAGGGGATAAATTCAGACTGAGGAGGTGGTGACTGAGCGGAGAGGACAGGAGAAGCAGGCGTGGGCCCATCGACTCAGGTTATGGGCACAGCCACGCAGAGTGCGAGAACGTTGGAGGCAGAATCTGGGAGTCTGTAGGCACTGGGGGCAGCTGAAGCTGTAGGGAATGGATGAAATCACCCACAGATGAGGGTGGAGAGTAAGAGGATGAAGCTGGAATCAGTGGAATTTTAGGAGTGGGGTCTTCCTTTAAAACTTGAGTCCTCCTTTTACGGTTGAGGAAGCAAGGGACAGAGAGGAGGTGACTTGTGTATGGACACTGGCACAGATGCGTGGAAGAAAGAGAAGCAAGCAGAAGTGATCCCACAAATGGTGGCAGGCCCCAGAGGCGGGGCAGCAGGGTGAGCGCTGACCAACACCAAGATGGAACCAGCCAGAGAGGAGCCAGAGGAGAGGGTTCTCCGGAGTAATGGGTGTGAGGCCGCATGTGCCTGGAGCACCTGGCAAAGGTGTGGGGGCCTGGGGAGACCGAGCACTCAGGACGGTCAGCGACCACACAGACTGAGCAGGAAGAGTGCACGAACTCATTACTGGAGCCTGCCGGGAGGAGGAGGGCCCTCGAGTCGGTGAGCCATGCCTGTTGTCGTCAGGGGTGAATGCACACAGTCACGTCATCAGAGGCCACATGCTGCTGCCAGGAGACGCCTGCCCCAGGGTGACTGGCTCCCTGCCCACTAACACCCCAGGGTGCGAGGGAGGTGGGGTGGGCATCACGCCTGCACCTTCAGAGCACGTCCTTCCCTGCATCCTCACCCCACCCCTGCCCACGGCCTGTCCTCCACTCAGGGGCTCGGAGCCTGTGGAGGGGCTGGGGGCCTGAAGAGCTCAGGCTGGGAGATGGGGAACGGAGGGCCCACCTTGCTGCCAGGGAGCCAGAGTTCAGATGGCCCAAGGCCACTGCACCTCAGAAGGCTCAGAAGGGACAAGGGCTGAGCTGGGCGCGAGAGGCTGGAGGGGCCACCAGGGGCCTCACCTTCATTCACGAGGTACCTCGCATAGAGGAGGAGCCAGTGGCGGTACTCGTGGCTGGACCGCAGGGTGAGCGCTGCTGCGACCTGACTCTCCAGGTAGGCCAAGGTGGTCTCCCGCTGCACCGCGTGAGGCACGGAGAAGAGCCGGGCTGCCTGCCTTCCCGAGCTGCGGAGACCAACACAGCACACACCGTGAGGCCGAAGCTGTCCCAGTGCGCCCCAGGCACCAGTGAGGAGCAGAGGTGGGCAGGCGTCAGCTCCGTCCCAGCCAAGGCCGTCCTGGTTACGCTGGCTACCCCAGATGTATCCCACTCTGCACCTGCCCTCCTGGCTGGAGGTGGCAGGCCAGTAGCCCATTCCCCTCACTCAAAACACTGCCTAACGTGGGTGTTTCTGACATGTAGCACACCAGACAGCCATCTGGGCTCTCAAGTGACAGGGCTTATGCCCCAGCACCCTGAGATATTAGCCCATGTGGGCCCACAACCCTTGGCCCCCTCAGCCTGCCTGGCTGAGCAGTGGCTGGGCACATGAACAGGCAATCAGAGTGGGCCTGGGTAGGACTGTGCCTTCCTGACCTGGCCACCTTCCCCAGCACTCGGGTTACCTACGTGGAGGCACGACCCTGGACTATGGCTAAGGGTCCCGAGCACAGCATGGCATCCTGGGGAGGCAGGCTGCTCCTGAAGTCCGCACATTGGGCCAGGGAGTCCTGCTTGTCAGAAACGAGGTTCCTGGGAAGACAAAGGGAGGAGCAGAGGTCAGAACTCGGAGGCTGCCAGAGGCTGGTGACAGGGCTGCCAAGAAAGCAGCACCATGTGGCCTGCCAGAACACCAGTGGAGGCAGAGTGCCACTGCATTCTCAGCACAGGGCCCCGCTGGGGCAGGTTTCACCGCAGGAAACACTGGGGACAGTGAAGGTCACTGGCTGGGTTCTTGCTTCAGCCTGGGAACGGTTCAGCCCCACGGTCTCTGTTCTTGGGGACGGGGGCCTGTGTGTGAAGTGTGCCTGGGATGCCTGCCTGCCCGGGGCCCACATGGCCCGCCCTCGGAAGCTTTAGGGAATGCCAGGGGTCTAGTGTCCTGAGCTTCCACAGCGGCCAATCAGGCAGTGAGCTCTTTACCTTCTCTGGACCCTTCATATCTCTGTGAAGAAAACATTCTTCACGCACTTTTAAAATAGCCAGGTGCCTTTATAAATGTGTCTGAAATATGGAGTCAACATTTCCCTTCTTAAACAACCATGTTGTTCCATTATTACATTAATCACATAATACATAACATTTTGTAATTTGGAAGAGCAGGGAGTGGGGAGTTTTAGGATTTTTTTTTTTAAACTCAAGAAAGAGATCTCAGTGTGAGGATAACCTTGTGCCTGGCGACTGGAGCAGAGCAGAGCCGCGAGGCAGAGCCTGGCCGGAAGGACCAGAGGGGCAGGCGGAGGAGGAGGGTTTCTGATTGGCTGCTACATGACATGCACGATCCGTAGGTCTGGGTTAATACCTCTGACGAATAGAAAAGGGCCCCGAGCTCCGAGATGGGCAGAGGAAAGGTGCTGACCACCACACGTGGTGAGGGACGGGTCAGCCTCACCGAGGCACAGAGTTAGTGGGAAGTACCACTCGGCTCCTCTGTGCGACAGAAATGGACGAGTGGTGGCAAAGCTGTTGTGAGGCTGACTCACCTATGCCAGCGATAGCTAAGAAGGCCGGGCTGGAAATAAGATCGAGAACCATGACCATTTCCAAACGCCTATTCTAAACAAAGCAACCCAGAGAGCAATGTGGAAGAAGGAAGGTGTCCCTGTGCACAGGCCCTGAGGCAGAGAGGCCGGGGCCAGGAGCCCCCCCAGGACAGCGGGGCCTGTACCAGCAGGTTTGAGACCCACCTTCCGTAGCACACAGAGCCCTGCAGGGCTGTCCCTGTGGCCTCCACTCTAGGGTCTGAATCTCAGAAGCCAGGCCGGGCAGGCCTGCCAGGACCAGGAGCCTTTGTTCAGCCACCCTGGGCTCCAGCTCAAAAGGACACTCCCCCAGGAGGGCTGGGCTCAGGGTGGCCTGCTTACCATGTGGAAAGTGACGGATCAAAGCAGTATGCTTTCCCATCGGACAGGTTCATCACTGGGATTCCGTGCTGCGTCAGCAAGATCTGTGACACTGTCATATCACTTCCTGGGGAGACACCACAAGAACGGGTCTGCGCTGTGTTCTGATCGGCGCTCACACCAAAGGCCGAGTCTGAACGTGGCCCCACGGTGCCGCAGCAGGCGCCTCAGGACTGACACAGTGGCCAGTGGCGCGCTGCTCCGCTCTGCGTGTGCTGCTCTCACCACCACCCACCAGGCTCTCGGGCGCCTCTTGAGGACTGGTTCAAATGTGCCCCCGAGAGGCTGTGTCTCCCCACAGCATAACTGCACACCCTGCTGGGCTGGGCCCAGGGCCTGTTCCCCATCAGACCTGGGACTTGAGCGGCCCGGCCCCGATACCCTCCACCCACCCAGGGAAGGCCCACTGCTGAGGTTACCTGCCAGGATGGAGTGGAGAGACTCTTCTTTCACCACAACTACCTGCCTGTGAACATCCCTATGAGGCAGACAGGAAACAGCTTACTCTCCAGCTGGGGTAAATGCCTCAGAGCACGCTTGGTGCTCAGACATGGTGCACACCCACCCCCGGGCTCTCCGGAGACGGTTCTGGGCCACAAGTGGCTTTTGCCCCCCATGGGCCACTATACTCCCTCCGCATAGCAGAAGGCCTAGGCAACAGAACTGTGGGGCCTGCCACCAACACCACGCCAACTCTGGAAGATGTGTGGCCACGTTCTGGCAGCTGAGATACCATTTCTGGACATTGGACATGCAATCAGGCACCGTGACTGTCACCCGATTTGCTCCTGTAAGGACGGTAACAGGGGCCAGGCAGCCTGCCCGACTTCCACTTGTACATCTTCCCGCCCCCGACACAGGGTGGCCACCAGAAACAATGTGCGACTTATCATGGCCTTCACGGGCAGTAAGATCCCCGGGCCAGCAGGGCCCGAGGACGTATCTGCTGGGGAGCTCTACAGAGCCCCATCCTGCCTGGAGCCTGGCCCACCCCAGGCCTGCCTCTCACCAGACGGACAGTGTGGCCGCAGCAGTGAGTGCCATGACGTAGGAGCCCGTGCAGTGCAAAGTGGAGACAGGGGACGGCAGGAGGATGGGAGGGAGGAGGCGGCGACCACAGGCGGAGAACACTGACAGCATCCTCTTTTCACAGGCCACACACACCACATCGCTGGGGAGGCAGAGGAGGGACAGGCATCAGATGACCGGGAGCTGGGGCCCAGGCAGCTGCCCTGGGGTGCAGGGCCTCCCCATTGGGCTGCCCTACGCCACTGGCCTTCCTGGGAGCCCGTGCAGCAGAGGGAGACAGGACCGCTGCCTGATGGCCACACATGAAGGACACCTCATATGTCAGATGTGGCCAAGCAGCACCCACCCGACAGTCTTCTGTCTGTGATTAGCTAGACCAGTCCTGAGAAGGCCTCTTCCAAGACAGGCTGGGAGCACTGGGGGAAGGGAGCAGTGGGGGATCGGTGGGGCATGTCCCTGTACGGGGTGCCAGCTGCATGCCGGAAGGACTTCACAGCTGGGTTTACAGCGGGACACGAGAGGGGTACCACTCCCTCAGCAAGGACACTTCACAAGCAAGCATGTGGGTGCTGTCAAGTCCTCCCCTCTGAGCAGCCACTAAGCCCCTCAGGGATGCTCCCCACAGGCAGGCTGCTGCCTTCCAGCAAGGGCCCCCCAAGAGGCCCCAGGACTGGGATGAGGCAGGAGCCGGGCTCCAAGAGGAGGGAGCAGGTGTGCAGCCAGCAGCGAGATTCTGGCCCTAGCAGACCTCCGGCAGCCCCGTCACGTCACTTCTCTTTCGCTCAGCCAGTGCCTGTGGTCTGCATGGGTGGCAGGCCCACAGCAAGGCCAGCCAAGGAAGGGGCTCTGCTGCCCACCTTTACTTCCCCAACACTACTGTTACTGGCTGCTGGACAGGGAGCACCAAGGGAGGCGCCGCTGCTTACAGAGCTGTTTGAGCAGGGGGTTCTCGGAGAGAATCCTGTCTGACTGTCTCTGACGAGCAAAGCCTCCCTAAGCCGGCTCGCTGCATAGCAAGCGTCAATCGGCGGCGGCAGGGCCTGGGGGGCAGGTCTGCACACTGGGCTGGGCCTGGGCCTGGGCCTCTGGTCCCTGGCAGGCCTCCCCAGCCGCTGCTGGGTCACCATGGAGGAGGCTGTGTCAACAGCCCGCAGCCCCCAGGCTGGGGCATGTTAGCTGCTTCACGGTGGGGATGAAGAGGGGAGGCCATGGCAGCACACAGCACAGGCTTCTGTGCCCTTCGTGGGCACCTGGGATTGAGAGCCCAGCCTACTCATCTTGGGGCAGAACAGGAAGGAGGGATAGAGTGGTGGTTCCTTCTAGGCTCAGCCTTACACACCCTCTCAGGGCCCCTGGGAACCCTGACCTAAGGGGGAAGGCCAAGTGCTTGCTGACACTTGAGAAAACATTTCACATGTAACTTCATGATAAATGATTAAGAGTCCAATTTAAATGAGTGTCTCTAAGCCAATCATCTTCAGAAAATCCTCATGGGAGTATCAAACCTGGGTCCTGACCAGGGGGCCCTGTGCCTCAGCAGGCCTCTGGGGAGAATGCCCGTCCTCTTCCCGGATGGACGACTCTGGGGATGTGGCCTGGAAGCCCAGGGGAAGACACTGAGTGACCAACCACTGAGTTAAGGTCGCCCCTCAAAGTGATGGATCTGGGAACATCTGGGCTGGGGACTCCGGTGATACTCATCCTGACTTCCTTGGAAACCTGGGGTCCAGGGAAAGAACCAGCTCAGGTCAGAGAGAACCAGGCAGAGCTCAGCCTGGAACCAGAACTTCAGAAATGTGTTCAGACAATGGAGTCAGCATGCCTGGATGGAAATTCTCTGGGACTCAGTTCCCCCACCTGGAACACGGGGACGATGAAGCTGACTTCACTGGGTGTGTGGGGACTGAGATGACAGAGGCACATGCTTGGCCCAGAGCAAGGCCTGTGCAGGCCTCCACGGAAGCAGGGGGACAGGGGCACACCCCCCCTGATGGTAACAGCACCGCACAGTGGGGCACACAGTGCTTGCTTGACGTGAAAAGTGGGGTCGAGAGGCCAGGTGGAGGCCTGTGCCCTTACCAGCTGCCGGCGGCGGTGAGGATCCGGCTGGTGAGCACCGTCTCCCACTCCTTCCCTTCCCGGTTACACTTCAAGCGGCTCAGCTTCACACCCCCCACGGTGGTCACTTCGTTCTCCACCTCAATGTACATGGAGGGGTCGGAGCTCACCTGGGGGGAAGCACACTTCTTTTCAGGTGACAGTGGCCCCACTCAGCCTTGGCTCATGGGACAGGCGGGATGCTCAGGGGCCCCCTGGTTGGGGGAAGACAGAGAGGCAGACAGCTAGCTGGCTGGCTAACAGGAGGGTGAAGGCAGGGGGCCCAACAGGACAGGCAGGAGGGCCAGAGGTCTGCATGTGCAGCACCCAGGGCAGGGAGAGTGCTGGGAGCTGGTTTCTGTCTTGTCATCCCTGTGGTGGTGCAGAGAATCAGTATCAGAACTAAAGACCCCAAGGCCTCCTAACCCCACCACGTTCCCCCACGAGGGGGAAGGCAAGCGGCCTGCCCAAGAGCGCACCATCATGGAGGCCATAGCGAGCTGGGGACAGAGGCGGGAGTGACACAGGAGTCTCCTGCCTTCTGGCTGAACTGAAGGGTCTTCAGGGATCACAGGCACTAACAGAGTGTGGGCTGGGTCCTGGAGGAAAAGTCTAGAAAATCCTAAGGTTCTTTCCAGCTGCTCTGGCAGGGAGCCTCGGTCTGCTCACTGGGGGCCAGCCTCACAGGGGCGTCCCGAAGAGTGTGCACTCGAGGGCCTGGTTCGGTGTCTGGCTCCGCAGGGGCTCCGCCTCAGCCCTTCTTTCTGGGTAGCTAACTGACATATTCCGTATGGAAAACTAGGCAGAAGACTGGCTGTGGCCGGGAGCCAGGCCCTGGCAAACCAAGAGGAGCCCCGGGGAGCACTCAGTGGTCAAGGCCCCGTGGGGCTGTCAGAGTTTGTGGGGGCTCTGTGTGCCCTGCCCCAGCTCACATCACCGACAAGAAGGAACTATGGGAGGCCCTGTGCTGGGGTCCAGAGGACCTGCGGCAGGAAGGAATGATACCTGTGCTTCAGGGCCCACGAGGGGCAGCCAGGCTGCGAGCTGGGCAGCCAGGCTGAAGTGACCTACACACCAGTCCCAGGCTTCCTCAGGAAGTGCACCTAGGTCAGGGGACAAAGGGCAGGCGGTGATGACCTGGTCCAGGAGCTGGGCCAAGAGACTTAGAGGGCCCCTGGGTCTTAAGGCATATCTGCTCTAGAACTGTGTTTTGAATGAGCACATGGTCACAAGCCTCCGCTGTCAGCCCTGATGATGATGCTGCTGGGCCCTGCGAAGTGGAGGGCCAGCAGGCTGGCTGGGAGACAGACCACTGCCCCACAGCCCAGCAGACACAGAACCTGAGGGCCAACTGTGGAGACCGCGGAGGCTTCCAGAGGGGACATGAGATAAATCTTGAAGGAGCTGCCATCCAAAGATGGCAGCAGGGACTACAAAGCCACATGGGGGAAAGAGGCATCGGGGGACAGGGCGGGAGCCCCAGGGGAAGAGGCCAGCAATCTTGCTAAGACTGGGTGGCTACCCTGATCAGCTAAAACTTCCCCCAGAAGGATAGAGAGACAGTGGAAAGCAGCCCTTAGTCAGTTTAACAACCCAGGGTTTACAAGGGTGGTGGGCGGGGAGTGGAGAGGGTACACACACAGGCTGGGGGTGGGGAGAGGAGAGGGTACACACACAGGTGCACACACACAGGCTGGCGGGTGGGGAGTGCAGAGGGTTCACACACAGGCTGGCGGGTGGTGAGTGCAGAGGGTTCACACACAGGCTGGGGGTGGGGAGCGGAGAGAGCACACACACAGGTGCACACCCACAGGCTGGGGGGTGGGAGCGGAGAGGGCACACACACAGGTGCACACCCACAGGCTGGGGGGGGGGAGCGGAGAGGGCACACACACAGGTGCACACCCACAGGCTGGGGGGTGGGAGCGGAGAGGGTACACACACAGGTGCACACCCACAGGCTGGGGGGTGGGAGCGGAGAGGGTACACACACAGGTGCACACACACAGGCTGGGGGTAGGGAGCGGAGAGGGTACACACACAGGTGCACACACA